CTAAACGAAATATATTACACATATCTTGCGCAACCTATAGGTGCTGAAATGTTAATTATAATTTAACTTCGATGTGTCACTTCATATCTTAATCATACTCCGAATCATATCGCGATTTCAATATTCTCTTATGTGTTATTTAAAAATCATAAATGATACATCTTATTGAATATAATATTATATACATATATGTTGCGAGTGAAATAAGGGCACACGGTTGAAGGCACAGTATTATGATATATTTCAGATTGGAAATACATTATACGATTTATGCTCTACTTGATCATAAAGCTGTTAAGTTTCGAATATTAGCTGTTAAGTTTCGAATATAAGCTGCGTTTAGGAAGATAAAACTATAGCGAGAAGTTGTGAAAGTAAATTTCCTGATATCGATTGTTGATCGATATATTTTAAAATATTTCGATATTACAACTGCATCTATATTCGGAACTGAGGCTCACTCTATGAATGACGTAAAGAATATCCGTTATGCTATTTAGAAATTGCCATTTATCAAGAAATCGATCGTTTCAGTTTGATTTTTTTATTTGCTCAAGATCGGGAATCGAGGTATACTGATATATTTCACTGTCAATTTTACGTGACTACTTTAACTTTCAAAGTGTATTAATGCTTTGTTAACTAACCGCGGAATCTTATCAAGTCAGTTATCGAAAAACGTACATATCCAGGATACTCTGATTATCTCATTTCTCCTTTAAGCACGAGAGAGCCACAGATACTTGATGCGTTTATTTATTTTAAATAACATAACCCCAGAGAGTCGCACTACATCAGTTGCAAGAACTAATGGGAACAACGACGATTAGTTAGCAAAGCGAATCCCGACCAGTAATCGTGGCATTACTATGTATGTATAGAAAAATCGAACGTCATTAGGTATGTCTAGATACAGTAAAGCAAATATGTAGACAATTATCGTTTAAAACTGCTAACCTACATACATAAACTATATAAGTAAGCATATGCTCCTTACAGAAAATAACTGATGACTTTTTAATGAAACATACAACCCCAATGAAAGTCTTATGTAAGTGAAGATATTCAAAAAGGCAATTGAACGAAAAACATATACAGGATATTTCAGAAAATTAGTGTAGAACTATAGAAATGTGTAGATAAAAGTAAGTAATGAACCCACGGGTATGATTTCATTGTTATAAGGTATTTTCATCAATCTATAACATGCATGTGTATGTTCAATATCACCTCCGTTCATTCCAGCATCACACTATTATTTCAATAATGTGAAAGCAAGCCGTAGAATAATACTGCAAGTAAATCCTACGATTTTCTGCTGAATGACAATAATTATTACGTTCACTGTACAAGATTCAGTAATTTAAAATTTAGGCTACGGTACGTAGGTGAACGCGTCTTCTAGCGAATGGAACATCTGAAGCTCGAAATGCACACACTTGTAAGAACCTATATCCACATTTGATTGCTTCATTGTATCGAGTCCGTTCAGAACACGCATCCACTAAGTTGTATACAGACACGAAATAAAATCTCTCATGATGTTGCAGATTCGCAGTCAGAAACGTGTTAAAACGTATCCTCGAAACTTCATGATATTTAAACCACGTTTATTTAAGGCTGTTTCCCCGTTTTGGCCCCGACTGCCTGAAAGACTCTGTATAATCGAACGACGTAACGCGCGTGCGAGGATGGATTGTAGAGGAAGGGATTGTCGAGCAGGAGGGCAAAGGAATAATCGCGCGCGGTCGGTCGCGGTGCTCAGTTGGTGGTTGCTCGGGACGAACGGGCGCGTCCACGAAGTGTGGGGTAACGATGGAGGCTGCGTTAATTGCGACGACCGAGTGATACACACCGTGTGTATACACGGGGATCGTGTCCTGGATTCGTGGCCCGCGTATCCCATCGCGCGCGCCTCCCGCCCCCACCCCCCCTGTGCCTGTGCCCGTGCTTTTGTGTGCGTGCGTGTCCCTCTGAAATACGGTGGTCTGGTCGTTTAGCATCCCTTAACTATCCTCGAGGAGGATAAAGTAAAGAAAATATTAACACAAAGAGGAAAGACAGAGAAAGAGGAGATACAGTGTGATATAAAACGGAAAGAAAGGCAAATCACGAACACGGGGAAAATGTCGTCCACATAGTCGAACCAAGGCGAACGGAGAGAAAGAGAGAGAGAGAGAGAAGCAGGTCGAACACGGTGCAGTGGTTATCCTGAGTCGTTGGTACGCGCAGCCTTTTGGTGTTGCTGGCTGACTTGATGCCTGCTTTGCTATTGCTGTTGCTGCCGCCGCCGTCGAATCGCCGCCGACGTTGCTGCAGCAGTTGCTAGCGATGCGAAAATGAACGAGAATTAAAAAAAAAAAAAAAAAAAAAAAA